TCTTTTCTGCATCAACTACCCAGTTAGATTCTCCATCTTAATAGTGTGGCCTAAGATCTGCGCACGGACCGTCATCCTAGCCTCACTTTGCGGAAGTTGGCCTCGCACGCTTAGTTTGTCTTAAACAACAGAATATCAACAGGAGTCGCATTTTAAACCCAGAAACTTCTCTAACTTCCACTTTCCTAAAAAGAGAATTCCAACAAGTGACAAGCCTGCCAAAGGATATTACTGCATCTTCAAACTATCTATCTCCTCTCAAAATCAACACGCATCCGCAATCATGGCCGCACAAGGCGGTATCTCTGACCCCGGTCTCATAACGTGAGGACCTCCTTAAACTGTATTTCTTTGCGCCGTATAGCTAACAGATCTTGCAGACTGGTGAACAAGCTTCAAGATGTATTCACGACCGTCGGTGTGCAAAACCCTATAGACCTTCCTCAAATTGCAGTGGTTGGGAGTCAGTCGAGTGGAAAGAGTTCGGTTTTAGAAAACATAGTTGGTAGAGACTTGTGAGTCTGCTGCATATCTGCATGCTTTGTTTTACATATGCTAATACTATGATGATGCGCAGTTTACCTCGAGGAACCGGTATTGTTACCAGAAGACCGCTCATTCTACAACTTATCAACCGTCCGCCTACCGCGAAGACAAACGGGGTAAAGGATACTGAGGAACTGGTCACGACAGGTGATAAAGAAGCTAATTTTGATGAATGGGGCGAGTTTCTTCATATTCCGGGGCAAAAGTTCTATGACTTTAATCAGATCAGAGATGAGATTGTGAAGGAGACAGAGGCGAAAACTGGTCGAAATGCCGGAATCTCTCCAGCTCCCATCAACCTCCGCATATACTCTCCCAATGTTCTTACTCTTACACTTGTCGATTTACCTGGTTTGACCAAGGTTCCAGTCGGAGATCAACCAAGGGATATTGAAAGACAAATTAAAGAGATGGTCCTGAAGCAAATTAGCAAGCCAAATGCTATCATTCTTGCTGTTACGGGTGCTAATACCGATTTGGCCAACTCCGATGGATTAAAGCTTGCGCGAGAGGTCGACCCAGAAGGTCAAAGAACTATTGGTGTTTTGACCAAGGTCGATTTGATGGACGATGGAACTGATGTTGTGGACATTTTGGCTGGAAGAATTATTCCCCTGAGATTAGGTTATGTTCCAGTGGTCAACAGAGGTCAAAGGGATATCGACAATAAGAAGCAGATTAGTGCGGCACTGGAAAACGAGAAGAACTTCTTCGAGAATCACCGAGCGTACAAGAATAAGAGCACATATTGCGGAACACCCTACTTGGCCAGGAAACTGAACCTTATCTTGATGATGCACATCAAGCAAACCCTCCCAGATATTAAGGCTCGTATCTCGGCTTCATTGCAAAAGTACACGGCGGAGTTGGCAGGTCTTGGAGACTCGATGCTTGGAAATAGTGCGAATATTGTTCTAAATATCATTACGGAATTTACAAATGAATGGCGGACGGTCCTGGAGGGTAACAACCAGGAGCTTTCCAGTGTCGAACTTTCAGGAGGTGCTAGAATCAGCTTCGTCTTCCACGAACTTTACTCAAATGGTGTTAAAGCTGTGGATCCATTTGATCAAGTCAAGGATATTGACATCAGAACTATTCTGTATAACTCCTCGGGTTCTTCGCCTGCGCTATTTGTTGGTACTACTGCTTTTGAACTAATTGTTAAGCAACAAATTAAGCGTCTGGAAGAGCCAAGTTTGAAGTGCGCTTCTTTGGTATACGACGAATTGGTCAGAATTCTTAATCAACTTCTTGCCAAGCCATTATTCCGCAGGTATCCTCAATTGAAGGAGAAATTTCATGCCGTCGTCATTGCATTCTTTAAGAAGGCCATGGATCCTGCCAATAAGCTCGTAAGGGATTTAGTGGCTATGGAATCTTGCTACATCAATACCGGTCACCCTGATTTCCTCAACGGCCACAGAGTAAGTTTGACAATTATCGACTAATAATCACTACTAATTTACTTTATAGGCTATGGCTATTGTTAGTGAAAGACATAACGCATCTAAGCCCGTTCAGGTGGACCCTAAGTCAGGAAAGCCAATTCCATCAACACCTGCACGTACCGCAAGTCCAACACTAGATGGAATGAGTGACCAAAATGGAGGTTTCTTTGGAAGTTTCTTTGCTTCTAAAAACAAGAAGAAGATGGCTGCTATGGAAGCTCCACCGCCGATCCTCAAGGCTTCTGGAACTTTGTCAGAGAGAGAAGGAACAGAAGTTGAGATTATTAGTAGGTCAAATCTTGGTACATCTTTAGATAACACTGCTAACTTCTTTAGAACTTCTCATCAATTCATACTACAATATCGTAAAGCGAACCATGATTGATATGGTGCCAAAAGCCATTATGCTTAATCTCGTCCAGTAAGAATCCCTGATCATTTTTTGAGTTACCTTAATTAATCAATTATAGATACACCAAGGATGAAATGCAACGAGAGCTTCTTGAGAATATGTACAGAACCGATACTCTCGATGATTTGCTTAAAGAAAGTGACTACACCGTTCGAAGAAGAAAGGAATGTCAACAAATGGTTGAATCACTTTCTAAGGCGAGCGAAATTGTTGCTCAAGTACAATAAAGCTACTGTCCGAAGAATAAACGCAGCGACCCTTCCCGGGTCAAGAAAGTCGGAGGCGGGGAAGCAACGGGGGAAACGTTTATAGATACTCACCGCAAGTGTTGTGTTGGACCATTTACCTTAGACTCCTTTTTTTCGATTTCACAACGACATACGATACCTTTTCTTTGGCTTGAAGCATAATGATGTGTGAAATACACTAACGCGATGATGGACATGAATGGGAAAGATGGTACCGATATTCCACCGATGATTGGAGAAATTTTGGTTTGGAAGCATAAAGCGAATGAATGAATGAATGGCAAACTTGATTCTATTGTGGTGGTTGTTTAAATGGAATGGTTGTAACTCTTTTTAATTTTTTTCCTTTCTTTTTCTAACTTTCTCCCTCGGTCTGGTGTCTACGTACGGGGCTAGCTTTTCGAGATAATATACCTACACTGCTATCTAGATAGTTTGCTGCTCCATTTGCCCCTACCTACCTACCTATGAAAAGAGAGATTTTTTTATCATTTTTTTTATCCATTCATTCTTGTCCATTCATTCAAATAAATGCTTTTGGAACGTATCACAAATCGCACCGTATCGTATCGTATCGGATCGGGTGGAATCGGATGGAATCGGATCGGATCATTACACGGCAGCGCAGCTTTAATTACACGGCACGGCAGCTTTTTTTATTTGATTTTCATAAGGTGCATACATTACATTACACGGCATGATATGATATGATATGACATGACATGACGTATGTGCTCGCGCTACCGTACCGTCGGTTTCTTACTTACTTTACCTTGAGCACATGCATAATCTTAAGATTTTTTTGTTGTGTTGTGTTTTGTGTTTTTGGGGGGGGAGTG